TTAACTCAAATTATACAATTAAAAATAAAAATAAAAACATTAAAACTTAACAAAATGTGTTTTTTGTTCAAAAAAGATAGATTCATATGAAAATAAAAAAAAAAATATTTTTTATTTTTTTAGAAAAAAAGGAAGACAATTTAAAAATTCAGCCAAATATTTTATATTTCAACTTTAAAAATAGTTACAAAAATTAGTTTCAAAAAAATTTATCGCACAATATATTTCGACTTTATAAATAGTTCTTAATTGCAATAAATAAATAAATAAATAAATAAATAAATAAAAATTAAAAAAAAAAAGAAGAAAAAAGAAGATGAAGAATTCACATAATATGTTTCAGCTTTAAAAATATTTGTATAGGATGCAAGTCCAATCTGTGTGAGGTGCAAGTTCAATATATGTGAGGTGCAAGTTGAATCTGTGTGGGGTGCAAATCTAGTGTGTTGACATTTTGTAAATTCTCTCACAGAGACTAGACTTGCACTTCCATACAGATTCGACTTGCACAATACACAAATTAGACTTGCACCCCACACAGATTCAAGTTACACCCCATATAGAATGGACTTGCAAACAGATTAGACTTGCACCCCATATAGATTCGACTTGTACCCTACCACTACAATAAATTTCACTTTTGGCAACTAAATTTTAGTCACCAAAAGCCTTATTTTAGTCGCCAATTACTTTTGGCAACTAATATATTTGGTCACCACAAATAGTTCGTTGGGAAAGACAATCGGCGAGTAAAATTTTTTTGGTAGCCAAAAGTGACCTATCGGTGATTGAAACTTTAGTCGCCATATATTTTTTAAAAATAATTAAATATATATATATTTACTTTTAGTGACTAAATTATTTAGTAGCGAATTGAGCATGTATGTTTGGCGACTAACTATTTGGTAGCCAAAAGTTTCACTTTTTGAGAATTGGCGACTAAAAATTTAATAGTCAAAAGTTTCCTTTTTCCAATTGACGACCAAAAGGTTAGTATCCAAAAGTAAAATTATAACTACATAGAAAGTAAGGATTAATAAGAGAATATAACAATAGTAAAATTATAAATTACAAATAAATAAGTAAACTTGAATACAATATTTTTACTAGTACCAAAGGAAAAAGCAGAAGAACAAGTTGTGAATTGTTCTATTATTGTAGTATAAGCATATTAAATTTAACATTAAAATGAAATAACAAGTTATTGTGCGCCAGAGGGAGCAGTTTAGATTGTGCGCCAAAAGGGGTTTCTCCTCTCTCTCTTCAATTTGTTTCAATTACTCGCAATCCAATGGAGGAGAAGAAGAGAGAAGACATTGAAAAGATTGAAGACGAAGATGGTCTTGAGTGGTTTAGATCGCAAATCCATAATTTTAACAATTTTCTGGACCCAACTATTCCTGAAAACCACCGACATGTGTCTCCGGCGAGTTTCATTTCACCAGAAAACCATCTTCATAGGTCATATTTTCCTGAAAACCACTGGTTTCCTTCTCTGGAAAACCGCTATCCCGAAATCAATCCTTACCAGTACTGTCCTATCACTTTGCCAAATACCACTGTTTATGGCAACATTTGGAATATTCTTGATGCTGAATTCAGTCACCTCAATCTCTCAAACCTTTCTCGGCCCTCTCTATTTCCGCCTCCATCATCATCGTCGTCCCGTAACAACTCCTCACCGATTGATCCATATTATTCATATTCCCAGTATGATGAGAATTTGCAAAGAATTAGAGTTTAGTCCGTAGTAAGGGGACAAATGGGTTTGAATCAATTCAACAATGGAAAACCAACAACAACAAACAATCCTCCTCGCTCGAACCAAAATGGGTACGATTTCAACACACCTTACTATGATGGAGCTCAAACTAATTTGAATTGAAATGGGTTTAGGCGAAGATCGAATGGATTCGGAGGCAATGATTTGAAGAATCTAGCTCCAACCTTGATGGAACTGTGGGGCATATTTTTTTTTGGGTGGCTAAGGATAAGCGCGGGTGTCTTTACATGCAAAAGAAGATTGATGAGGCTAACCCTGAGGAGATTGAGATGTTGTTCTTTGAGCTTAAAGATCATGTTCGCGAGTTAATGGTACATCAGTTTGGGAATTCTCTTATTCAAAAGTTTTTTGGAGTTTGTAATTTAGATTAGATTACTCAAATTCTTTTTATGGTGATCAGTGATGAGCGTTACTTCATGACTATATGTTGTGACACACATGGAACTCATGCAAGGCAGAAATTGCTAGAATATCTTACCTCGCAAGAGCAAAAATATAGACTTATGTTTGTTCTAGGGTGGTTCATTGTCCACTTGACCAGTCACATGAATGGCAATCACGTAATTCAATATTGTTTGAAAATCTTCTCTGACTAGGATAATATGCATATTCTACATGAATTAGAAAATAACTGTCCAGACATAGCCACAAAAAAATCAGGGTGTTGTGTGTTGCAACACTGCCTCGCACATTCTCAGGGAGAGCCGGTAAATCGTCTCGATGCTAAAATTGTTGCCAACGCACTTGTCCTCTGTGAAAGTCGTTATGGAAACTATGTTGTGCAGTTTATACTAGGAATGAAGTAACCATATGTACAACATGCCAAAGCAGACATATTTGCACAACTTGCAGGGAACTATGTCTGCCTCTTCTTTAATAAATACAACTACAATGTGGTGGAGAAGTGTTTGAAAGAGGTTAGAAAAGATCAAGCCGCGCAAATCATCAAAGAGATCATTAACAATCCTAATTTCTTGACGCTTGTTCAAGATCCTTATGGGAACTATGTCGCTCAATCTACTATGATGGTATCAAAGGGTTGTGTTCGCCAAATAATCCTTACCCTGATTCAGAAGCGTTACCTTTTCTTACACAACCACCCCTGCGGAAAGAGGGTGCTGACGGCAACCGGAGGCACCAAGCAGCCATATGTCTTTACATCTAAAAGGTAGACATAACCTAGTGTGGATATGATCTGCTCTAATTTAGGCTTTTGTTGTGTAGCAAATTGTAAGAAATAAGGGAGGTGGGTGTTGTTTGTTTGGATTGTACTATCCCTGCAGGGTCTATCCCTCCCTCTATTGCTTGTTATACATTATTATTATTAAACCACTAGTGTTTTGATTTTTTTTTTTTTAAAAAAAATAGAGGTCGAAGTAGAAAAAAAGACAGAGTAGAGCAGAAACACACAAAAAAATGGATTGTGAGTAACATAAAATAAAATAAAATAAAATAAATATGATAGAGATATTTGGCACATGAATAAATTAGTGGACAAAGGAAAGAATCGCCACAAAACGATATTGACAGGATAATATGACAACGGAATAGGTGGAGGTCCTACGGGCGGTCAAGGCAAGGCTGCCGCCCGCTAATAAGGCGAAGAACACCAAGAGCTTAATCTATAGCTCTCATACCATGTTAGAATAGTAGAGAGAGAGAAAAAAATAATATGTGTTGTTTTGAATGTGGACAAAGGAAAGAATCGCCACAAAACGATATTGACAGGATAATATGACAACGGAATAGGTGGAGGTCCTACGGGCGGTCAAGGCAAGGCTGCCGCCCGCTAATAAGGCGAAGAACACCAAGAGCTTAATCTATAGCTCTCATACCATGTTAGAATAGTAGAGAGAGAAAAAAAAAATAATATGTGTTGTTTTGAATGGATTGTATTAAGTGATAGAAGTTTTATATATGTGAAAAAGAGTATCCTACTAGAAATCTAACTATGAGAAAGAGTATCTTATAAGAGACCTAGCTATGGTAATACCTAATATATCTTGGAAATCAATACCTAATGTATATAGGAATATATACCATATATAAATTAACAGATACTAATATTTTTGGATACTTGCGAATATGTTTTGAATATTTATTAAAGGTATCCGATACTTCTTAATATGTTTTTTTTTTATGTACATTTTAGAATATAGGATACTTAATTTTGATGTTTCGATACTCCTAATACTTTATATAGTTATTTAATAAGAAGAATATAGTGAGAGAAGTAATAAAATATGTTAAATTGATGTATCTTTATTGTTTCATGCACATCCGCTATAACTACATAGAAAGTAAGGATTAATGAGAATATAACAATAGTAAAATTATAAATTACAAACAAATAAGCAAACTTGAATACAATATTTTTACTAGTACCAAAGGAAAAAGTATAGGAACAAGTTGTGAATTGTTCTATTATTGTAATATAATCATATTAAACTTAACATTAAAATGAAATAAAAAGTTACTATGCGCCAGCGGGAGCAGCTTAGATTGTGCGCCAGTAGGGGTTTCTCCTCTCTCTCTTCAATCTATTTCGGTTACTCTCAATCCAATGGAGAAGAAGAGAGAAGACATTAAAAAGATTGAAGACGAATATGGTCTCGAGTAGTTTAGATCACAAAACCATAATTTGAACAATTTTTTGGACCCAACTATTCCTAAAAACCACCGACGTGTCTCGGCAAGTCTCTTTTCACCAGAAAACCATCTTCACAGGTCATATTTGTCTGAAAACCACCAGTGTCCTTCTCCAGAAAATCGCTATCCCGGAATCAATCCTTACCAATACTGTCCTATCACTTTGCCAAATACCACTGTTTATGGCAACATTTGGAATATTCTTGATGCTGAATTATGTCACCTCAATCTCTCAAACCCTTATCAGCCCTCTCCGTTTCCGCCTCCATCATCATTGTGGTCCCGTAACAACTCCTCACCGATTGATCCGTATTATTCATATTCCCAGTATGATGAGAATTTGCAGAGAATTAGAGTTCAGTCCATAGTAAGGGGGCCAATGGGTTTGAATCAATTCAACAATGGAAGGCCAACAACAACAAACAATCCTCCTCGCTCGAACCAAAATGGGTACGATTTCAACACACCTTACTATGATGGAGCTTCAACTAATTTGAATTGAAATGGGTTTAGGTTAAGATCGAATGGATTCAGAGGCAATGATTTGAAGAATCTAGCTCCAACCACGATGGAACTGAGGGGTATAACATTTTTGGTAACTAAGGATAAGCGTGGTTGTCTTTACTTACAAAAGAAGATTGGGGAGGCTAACCCTGAGGAGATTGAGATGTTCTTCGAGCTCAAAGATCAATTTCGCAAGTTAATGGTACATCAGTTTGGGAATTCTCTCATTTAGAAGTTTTTTTGAGTTTGTCATTCAGATCAGATTACTCAAATTCTTCTTCTGGTGATCAGCGATGAGCGTTACTTCATGACTATATGTTATGACACACATGGAACTCATGCAATACAGAAATTGCTAGAATATCTTACGTCCAAAGAGCAAAAATATAGACTTATGTGTGTTCTAGGGTGGTTCACTATCCACTTGACCAATCACATGAATGGCAATCATGTAATTCAATATTGTTTGAAAATCTTCTCTGTCGAGGATAATATGCATATTCTATATGAATTAGCAGATAACTGTCTACACATACCCTCAAAAAAATCAGGGTGTTGTGTGTTGCAACACTATCTCGCACATTCTTAGGGAGAGCATGTCAATCGTCTCGTTGCTAAAATTGCTACCAACGCACTTGTCCTCTGTGAAAGTCGTTTTGGAAACTATGTTGTACAGTTTATACTAGCAATGAAGGAACCATATGTACAACATGCCAAAGCACACATATTTGCACAACTTGCGGGGAACTATGTTAGCCTCTCCTTTAATAAATACAGCAGCAATGTGGTGGAGAAGTGTTTGAAAAAGGCTGGAGAAGATCAAGCCGCGCAAATCATCAAGAGATAATTAATAGTCCCAATTTCTTGATTGTTCAAGGTCCTTATGGGAACTATGTTGCTCAATCTACTGTGATGGTATCAAACTAATGTGTTCGCCAAACAATTCATACCATAATTTAGAAGCATTACGCTTTTTTACATAGCTACCCCTACGGAAAGAGGGTGTTGACGGTGACCCGAGGCACCAAGCAGCCGTATGTCTTTACATCTAAAAGGTAGGCATAACATAGTGTGGATATGATCTGCTCTAATTTAGGCTTTTGTTGTGTAGCAGATAGTAAGAAATAAGGGAGGAGGGTGTTTGTTTGTTTGGATTGTACTATCCTTGCAGGGTCTTTCCCTCCCTCTATTGCTTGTTATACATTATTATTATTAAAGCTCTCTTGTTTTGAATTTTTTTTTTAAAAAATAGAGTTTTAAATAAAGAGAAAGACAAAGTAGAGTAGAAACACACAAAAAAAAGTGGATTGCGAGTAAAATAAAACAAAATAAAAATATGATAGAGATATTTGAGATAGGAATAAATTAGTGGATAAAGGAAGGAATCGCCACGAAAGGATTTTGACAGAAAAATATGACAACGAAATAGGTTGAGGTCCGATGGGAGGCCAAAGCAGGGCTGACGCCTACCGGTAAGGCGAAGAACACCAAGAGCTTAATCTATAGCTTTGATACTGTGTTAGAATAGAAAAGAGAGAGAAAATAATATATATTGTATTGAATGAATTGTACTAAGTGATAGAAGGCCTATATATATAGCCTAAGAAAGAGTATCCTAGTACAAATCTAACTATGAAAAAGTGCATCCTATGAGAGACCTAACTATGGTAATACCTAATATATCTAGGAAATCAATACCTAATGTCTGTAGGAATATATACCATACATACATTAACAGATACTAATATTTTTTGATATTTGCAGATATGTTTTGAATATTTATTAAAGGTGTCCGATACTTCTTAATATTTTTTTTTATTAATTTTAGAATATAGGATACTTAATTTTGAAGTTTCGATACTCCTAATACTTTATGTAGTTATTTAATAAGAAGAATATAGTGAGAGAAGTAATAAAATATGTTAAATTCATGTATCTTTATTGTTTCATGCATATCTGTAGACATGCCCAAACGTCACGGCTCCGCGCGCGAATGGCGCGAAATCCGTTTTGTTCATTAGCTACTACAGTTCGAACTCAATATCACGGTTCTGAATCTAATCTCGCAAAGTGCAATGCAAGACCGAAGAATCACCAAAGAGTCCAAATCCGGCAAATCATTTTGGAAAATTGATTTTAAAAAAGAAGTGCCAAACATGGACTGCTTTCCCAGATACAGAGTCACCACTTAAATGTTTTTGTTTTGGGAAATTTAGGAAACCCTGACTCGTGCCTAAGGCCGCGTGTCTGTCATCTCCAAAGTTGCCTCGGCTCGGGAACTTGGGTACTAGAGGGGAATGTCATGCAATGAGCACCCCCGCTCGCCCGATCAAAAAGATCGACCTTTACTAAGCATGATATTTTGTTTTTGAAAACACATGCGTTCTTATTCCGATTTATTAGCTAGCTTACTACGTGATGCGCACAACATACAAGTATAGACTAGATCGCCTAAGTTGGAACAAAACATTTCATGTTCGTTTGTTTGAAAATGATTTGAAGGTGCTACTCGCAAGTAGGCTAAGACGTGGATTTGCCACCCTCAAGTGGGCTTAGAAAACATGATTTTTCCACTCTCAAGTGGCTTAAAACTCACATTTCAATGAATTGTTCCAATTCAAGCAATCCAGCCTTCACCCATAGGTATTCAGGCAGTTATATCAGTTAAGCAAATAGCCTCATGGCAAGCATGCTATCATGGCAATCACTCACACTCATGCAAGGATTCTAAAGCATAAATACTTACAGTGTACTCCGAGCCAAAACAAAAGCTAGTTAGTAATCAATGCATGATCCTAGCTATGTTAACAATGCCTAATGCAACACATGGAAAATGCAACTAAGATAGGCTCGACTATTCTAAGATGTCATGTGAATGCAATTAGATAATATGTATTCAAATTGGAATTGAAATACAATGCAGTTTGTATGATGCGCCGAGCCCGGTGCATGTAAGACAAATGAGTGGATGCAAACATGCAAACATAAGGATGCTAATTGAAATATGCCCTAAACTAACCATCGAAAGTGATTAAGTAAAAGGGAGAAAGATGTGAGGTTGGAAGACATTCATACACTCACACACACTTATTACAAAATTCGCCCTCTCGACGGAGGGTCCGAATGAATAATACAAACTAGCTACGCTAAGCTATTCTAACTAATCTAATTAATCTAATTAGACTAATTATTACATAATCAAATTGAATATTAGCTAAGCTAAGCTAATTAAGAATTTACAACGATGAATTAAATTAGCTAACACATTAACTAATTAATTACAAATTAACTAACTATACAAAGCAGTTAAAACGGCCTCGAGAATAGGGGCATATGCACGCTCGATCAACTTCACTTGGAAATCCGTTGCCATGCCTCATGTTGCCTCTGTTTGCACTATTCTGCATCTCTAAAAACTGTGCCAACTTCCATGGTGCTTTTGACCCACCTTAGGAACATGCTGAGGGGTAGTCGGCTAAGAGGAATGGCTATTGGCTAGAGGATAATGCTCATCGACCAATTTTGAGTCTATCGGCCAAATATTTATAGTCGATCGGCCCACTAGATAGCCGATCGACCATCTCTTCCTGCAAACTCCCATTTTTGTTGCAACAGAGCATAGACAAAGGCATGGCAATGTATTTGCAAGAAAATGTGTGTGCAACCATACTCCTTATCATGTTTGAAGCTCAAAGGAGTGTAGTGCTCGACTATCGAGCCATCACTCATGCATTTCGATGCATGATGGCCAAAGAGGCTGAGTTGCACAAATCAATATGGATGAAATGCACAAAAACACGTAAATGCCTTAACCTCTATCATGCATGATCAAGAGGGTCGGCGATCGAGAATTGAGGCACGTTTCATCACTTCAAGTATGAAACGTCCCTCGTTCCTCGTGTTTGGCTTAACACCCAAACCAAACACAATGCAATGCATGCACAACTTAACCAAGCTAATGACATGCAAACAATGTAATACAACATAAGCATGCAAGCACCATAAAATGCAACCTAAACATGTAAACAACATGCAAGAATCATGCAATGCGACAAGCATGTGACAACATGCAATGCGACAAGCATGCAACAACAACAAAATGGAACAAGCATGTAACAACATGCAATCTAACAAGCATGCAACAACATGCAAAATGGACTTTAGCTAAAATGGACAGACCACAATCATGCCCAAATCAGTGGCCAAAATGTTGAAATGATGGCATGAAATGCAAGACAATGCATGCACATGCTCTAGCCCACCAACTAAGCATAGAAGCATAACTCTCAAAAGTGCTCAAGGAGTGACAAATGTAAGAGTGTAGCAACACTATAAGCACTAAAATAAGGTATGAAATGATGACAAATCATTCAATCAATACAAGCATGGCATGCTAGGGTCCTTAAAGCATAAAGCTACCAAAGAGGACTACAAAGGAGGCATGCAATACATGGTACAAAGGCATGAACCAATCATGGACAGAGTTCAAATAGGTCTAAACAAAGACCAAAATATGCTAAGATTGAGGCACAAATGCCTAGGCATGCATGCATACACACTAAGCCACAAACAAGGTAACAAATGCACAACCCTTAGAGGCACTCAAAGGGTGAATGAAGTGGGAACATGGCAATGCTACATGCTCTGAAATGTCATGTGAAATGATGCCAAATCATGTACATGATACAAATGAAGCATGCTATGGTGCCCAAAGCTTAAGGCTAGCAAGGCACTTGCACTACAACTATGCAAAACATGAAGCATATGGCAAGGGCAACCCAAAAAAGTCCTAGAACATGTTAAAATGAGTCTAAAACATGTGTGGAAGGAAGCCAAAATATGCTGGCACGAAGGGCATAAGGCATGATGGATGAAAGGAAAATAAGGTGGATTACACCACACCTATCAAGACCAAGCATGAGATGGCTTCACCAAAAAAAATCGGAGTTATATCATGGCAAACTAACCCCAAATACACATTGAAATGATAGCTCGCTTAGGCATGAAGGCATACGCAAAGGCTCATGTTCAAGGCATAAAGCACCAACCCTTCAACGCATTGAAAAAGTGTAAGATGTGAGTACATGGCAATGAAATATGCTCTGAAATCATATAACAAATAATTCCAAATCATTCAAATAGGTCAAGCAATGCATGCTAGTGGACTTGATGCACAAAGCTAACAAGCTAGGATGAACCATAGCTATACAAATCATGGCGTGCATGGCCAAAAAAACAAAAATCAGAGCTTAAGCATGCTAAAACACAACCAAAATCTTCTTAGAGTTAAGCCAAAATCATGCTTGAATGACATGTTAAAGCATGATACACATTAGGCTAATTCATGGAATTGCACTACAAGTGCATGGAGCATGCAAGGGCCAACCAAACCAAACCTTAATAGAGGTATGACATAGTAAAACATCACCAAAAACATGCTGAAATGGAATCAAATCAAACTAGATAGGAATGCTACTTCATGAAGCACACAAGACTAGTTTGTGAGAAATACACTACAAGTGTATAAACCATGCAAGGAGTGAGTCCACCAATCAAAATCAGAGTTATAACATGTCAAAATAACACCAAAAACATGCTTGAACTAAGCTAATTCAAACCACAAAAGCATGCTACTTTGTAAGGCTAACAAGGCTAGCAAAGAGGATTTACACTACAAGTGCAATAAGCATGCAAGAGGTGAATAAGACAGCCAAAAATAGAGTTATGGCAGGTCTGATAAGTCACAAAAATGAGCCTAAACAAAGCCATAAAGAAGTAAAAACACATGCTCATTTGGTTGGCCATCAACACTAGCAAGCAAGACAAGAGGAGAGGGGGCCACCCTCTCCTATTTTGAGCCTCAAAACAAGTTTTCTAAGGCCAAAAAGAAGTTGTTTGAAAAGTTAAAAAGTTAGCTCACAAGGCCTTACAAGCCAAGGAGCAAAATGGAGGACAACCCCCTAGCCAACCAAGGCACAAACCAAGACTTTTAGGACTGAAAAACAGAGGAAAAACAAAGGTTTTTGTAGTACAACACCACCCCAAAAAACAGCCCCAAAGTAGTTGAAAACTATGGCAAAACTAGTATGCAAAACAAGCTAAAAGGGGTGAGTGATTACCTTTGAAGCACAACAGCAAAATGGCCTCTTTCTAGGCACAAATGACCTTCTATCAGCCCAAAAATAAGCTCCAAGGGACCTCAGCCCATAGATATGCAACCTTGATGATGGATGCCTAGGCAAAATGGAAGTATTTCTCTACTTTTATGTGCTTCTATGCACCAAACTCTACTTCTATGCACTTCTATGCACCAAAGAGCAAGAGAGAGATGAAACTAGAGAGAGAGGCTGAGATTTAGCTCTGGAAATTGTAGAGAGAGAGAGAGAGAGAGAGAGATTTTAGTGTGAGAAGCTCCCAAACTTGTTCAAGAAGTTCTCTCCCCTTGAATATGAGATATTTGGCTTCATATATAGCAAAAGGCAAGAGTTTGGTCGAAATATCTAAATATGGGACAGCTGGAGGTTGTGTGGAATAGCTGGAGATGAAATTTTCAAAAAATCTGAGTTTGGGTCACTCTTGGCTGATCGACCATCTTTGGTGCCGATTTGCCACTTATTTGCTACTTTTTTGGCCGATTGGCCACAAAAATCTACTTTTCAGGCCCAACTTCAAACAAGCATAACTCCTTCATATGAACTCATTTTCAGATCATTCTTGTGTCCAAATTGAATCCCCAGAAGTAAGTTTTCCAATGACGGCATCCTTGTGTTAAAATTCCAACTGTGCAAAAAGTTATGCATGTTTTGGTGAAGCCGCTCAGTTTCGGTCCAATTGAAATGATGCCCAACTTCAACCAATCATATCTCCCCCATCCGGACTGGGCTTTAGGAGATTCTTGAGTGAAAAATGAAGCCCCGGAAGTCTTCTTTCCAACGGTGGTAGCCTCATAGATTAAATCCAAGTGTATAGACAGATAGGCCTGATTTACCAATGACTGCTCAACTCTCTCTTAGCGATTCATACCCATCTCCTTCTCCAACTTGGTTTCTTCCCTCTTCTCCTCTTTTCTTCAACTCCAAACCCCTAAACAAGGTGTTTTGAAAGATTTTTCAATGATTTCATCTCTCTTTCATTCATTTCCACTTTGTCCTCGCTCGGTTTACCAAAAAGCGCAACATTTAACGAAATGCGAGCCTCGGAACATCATGGTAACTTTATTTCAAAAATATTTTGAAAGAGAGGGTTTTAAGATCTTAAAACCATCCAAAATAGATTTGGTCCAAAATTGGGTGTGTGGTTTGGATTTGCCGCTCTCATTGCCGAAGAAATTGAACCTTTGCACTGCACAACCTGCATCACTAAGTAAGAAATTAGTAGCGCTCAAGTCTTAAGGACGGTCAAAAATGGGGTGTCTACAATATCCTTTGTAGCTACATAGAAATTAAGGATTAATGAGAATATAACAATAGTAAAATTATAAATTACAAATAAATAAGTAAACTTGAATACAATACTTTTACTAGTACCAAAGGAAAAAGCATAGGAACAAGTTGTGAATTGTTTTATTATTGTAATATAAGCATATTAAACTTAACATTAAAATGAAATAAATAAGTTACTGTGCGCCAGAAGGGGTTTCTCCTATCTTTCTCTTCAATCTATTTCGGTTACTCTCAATCCAATAGAGAATAAGAGAGAGGACATCGAAAAGATTGAAGACGAAGATTGTCTTGAGTAGTTTAGATCACAAAACTGTAATTTGAACAATTTTCTGGACCCAACTATTCTTGAAAACCACCGACATGTGTCTCAGGCGAGTCTCTTTTCGCCAGAAAACCATTTTCACAAGTCATATTTTCCTGAAAACCACCGTTTTCCTTCTCCAGAAAACCGCTATCCAGGAATCAATCCTTACCAATACTGTCCTATCACTTTGCCAAATACCATTGTTTATGGCAACATTTGGAATATTCTTGATGCTGAATTTAGTCACCTCAATCTCTCAAACCCTTCTCGGCCCTCTCTGTTTCTGCCTTCATCATCATTGTCGTCCTGTAGCAACTCCTCACCGATTGATCCGTATTATTCATATTCCCAGTATGATGAGAATTTGCAAGGCCTTAGAGTTTAGTCCGCAGTAAGGGGACAAATGGGTTTGAATCAATTCAACAATGGAAGGCCAACAACAACAAACAATCGTCCTCGTTTGAACCAAAATGGGCACGATTTCAACACACCTTACTATGATGGAGCTTCAACTAATTCGAATTGAAATGGTTTAGGCTAAAATTGAATGGTTTCGGAGGCAATGATTTGCAGAATCTAGCTCCACCCTTGAGGGAATTGAGGGGTATAGCATTTTTGGTGGCTAAGGATAAGCGCGATTGTCTTTACTTGCAAAAGAAGATTGATGAGGCTAACCCTGAGGAGATTGAGATGTTGTTCTTTGAGCTCAAAGATAATGTTTGCGAGTTAATGTACATCAGTTTGGGAATTCTCTCATTCTAAAGTTTTTTGGAGTATGTAATTTAGATTAGATTACTCAAATTCTTCTTCTGGGGATCAGTGATGAGCGTTACTTCATGACTATATGTTGTGACACACATGGAACTCATGCAATGTAGAAATTCCTGGAATATCTTACTTCCCAAGAGCAAAAATACAAACTTATGTCCGTTCTAGGGTGGTTCACTGTCCACTTGACCAATCACATGAATGGCAATCCCATAATTCAATATTGTTTGAAAATCCTCTTTGACGAGGATAATATGCATATTCTACATGAATTAGTAGATAACTGTCTAGACATAGCCACAGAAAAATCAGGGTGTTGTGTGTTGCAACACTGTCTCGCATATTCTTAGGGAGAGCCTGTCAATCGTCTCGTTGCTAAAACTATTGCCAACGCACTTGTCCTCTGTGAAAGTCGATATGGAAACTATATTGTGCAGTTTATACTAGCAATGAAGGAACCATGTCAACCTCTTCTTTAATAAATACAACAACAATCTGGTGGAGAAGTGATTGAAAGAGGCTGGAGAAGATCAAGCCGCGCAAATCATCAAGGAGATCATTAACAGTCCCAATTTCTTGATGCTTGTTGAAGATCCTTATGGGAACTATGTCGCTCAATATGCTATGATGGTATCAAAGGATGTGTTCGCCAAACAATCCTTACCCTGATTCAGAAGCATTACCCTTTCTTACAAATTATAGAGATATTTGGGATAGGAATAAATTAGTGGACAAAGGAAGGAATCGCCACGAAATGATATTGACAAGAAAATATGACAACGGAATAGGTTGAGGTCCGACGGGTGGCCAAGGTAAGACTGCCGCGCGCCGGTAAGACAAAGAACACCAAGAGTTTAACCTATAGCTCTAATATCATGTTAGAATAGTAAAGAGAGAAAATAATATATATTCTATTGAATGAATTGTATTGAGTGATTGAAGGCCTATATATATAGG